AGCTGGACTCGGGTTCTTCCGGAGAGGACTCTCTGTCAGAGAAAGGGGCAGTAGATCCTAAAAGTCCTTATAAGTTGCAGAAGAGACTGGATAAGAAGAAGTGAAGGCTGAAGGACTCTGAATTGTGCCTTTGAAAAATTTTGAATTGAGATGCTTTGGGGTATTTCCTTATATCAGTTAAATTTAAGATGTGGGAAAAGTTAACAGAATATGTGACTCAGTTTGTAATGAGATTAATATGATTAAGACTAGATGTGTATTCAAGCTGATTAGAAGACCTCCTCTCTTGGGTTTTTAGTCAGTAGTGGGTATCTTTTCTTTATCCCCTAAATTTAGTCCCCTCCTTTATTTCTGTTATAGTTTGTAGTTTTAATAAAAATGCAATAAAAATTCCCCATTGGGGAGCAAAAAAACCCCCCAATATAAGGGTAATAATACTGGCCTAGTTTACAGGACTCTTGTAAGGACCGCTGACATTAGTTGTCTTTAGCATTTTGAACATTTGAAGTGCACTGTGTTATTCTTTCTTCAAATAGCAACACAAGAGGTTAAGAGAAGGCAGGGACTTATCATTGCAATGGACTATATTAAGTTCTTCTCTCCTCACTGCAAGCCTCTTGAGTTGCTTTTTGAAGAAAAACCACCAGAGACACTTGTTTACTCTTTTTCCACACAAACACTCATGCCCAACTCCTGTATAACCCAGAGAAGGAGGCTAATAAACTTGACAGTAACCCTTGACTGTTTCTTCCGTTATTCAACATACAGCAAAATATTCCCTCCAAAGAGCTGGAGAGAGCATGCAGCATACAGGAGGAGAATAGAACAAAGAAGAAATGGACAAATCAATGCTCAAAGTAAAAGCATTGGATAAATAATAATAATCAGGTAGCCACAGAGGTTATTATATACTAACAAAATGTCTGGGGGGCGTGGGACAAGGGCCTATATACTTGTGGAGATTGGAGTTGATGGCAAGAGTTTCATAAGACAAGGTGGTTTTTGAGAAGATATCTGAAGGAGGAAGGGGAAGGAGAGGGATGTGGTAAGACAGCAGTGTTCTTGGAGGACATTCAAAGGGTAGCAAAAGAGTCTGGGGAAGGTTGCTTAAGAGAACAGGAGCCCTCAGTTGGACAATAATGATACCAATCACAGACGGAAATTTCCATGCTAGTTCTATCAGTGTTCCTTCCGGTTAGTATTTGGATGGGTGACCTCCAAGGAATACCAGGGAAGTGATGCAGAGGCAGGCAATGGCGACCACGTCTCTTCCCTTAAAAACAAGTCAAGCCTAGTGGTGCATAACACTAAAACAGCTAGAACTTCTGGCTGCCAGACAATCTTTGGATCACCTGGCTATACTACACACACTGCCATACGATGATGATGATAATGAAGAAGAAGAAGAAGAAGAAGAAGAACTGAATTTCTGAATTGCTCAATCCCTGAGTACACAGGGCT